AAACAGAAACAGATAAAAGAAAGAATAAGAAGAGCAATTATAACGATGAGAAAAACATGGAGCATAGGAGAGAGAATATTTAAAGAAGACTATAAGAAAAGAACGGGGATGTTTGATTCACTGGGGGGGAGTGTGGCTTTATTCGGAGCGGAAGTATGGGAGTGGAAGATGAAAACAGACTAGATAGAATAAAAAGGAAATATTTATAGTGGATATTAAATCTTGATAGAAGAACCAAATTATATATTGACAGAAGAAATAAAAATGAGAAATTAAGGATGCAAGCGATTAAGAGAGCAATAAAATACTAAAAAAAAAAGCTAGTGAGTCAAAGAAGAAAATAGTTAAAGAATGTATAAGAGACCTAGAAAAAGAATGGACAGAGAGAGAGGAAAGTAGAAAGATTGATGGAAAACAGGATAACAGGATAGGGAGAAAAAGATAAGGATAACTAAGATAGGGACAAACAAACATGTAGGAGCTTATTAGAAGTAAGTTTTTGAAAAATTCTTTTTTATAAAGTTAGAAGCAAGGTAATTTAAAATTTTACGTTTATGTTATGTTATGTCATGTTATTTATAATATTCTATTTCAGTATATTTTATATTATTAGATTATTAGAAATAAGTTATGATGTAAGACAGGATAATTAGTAAATCAAACGAACTTATTAAAGTGAAATTCAATTTGAATTTGTCTTTGATGTCTTGTCCGAGTGGACAAAATAGTCGTGCTTTTCCGCACGATTGCACCAACCAGTCTTTAGAATTTTCGCTAAAGTGAAATGCGACCTCGACCGCCGAGGGCGCTCCACGCATTGCTAATGTCATTCGTTTAGGAGATGTAAATTGCCTAAGTGTGTGAAGGAAGGAGAAAGTTGAGAATAAGAAGATTCATTCGGATAAGACATCAAGGGTATAATTCAAACTTCACTTTGGTAAGTTTGATTTACTAATTATGCCCAATGGTCTTATCCGGGTGGACAAAGTAGATGTTCAGCGATTTGCGCTTTAGGCCTTTATTAATATAATGTTATAATTTTCTGTATACATGTGCATCACACATTTCTACGGTAACAAAAGAGGAACAAGTATACGTGCGCTGTGAAGGAAACTTACATTGGATCACGAGATTGGATTCATGACCTAGGATCTTAGAACTAAAAAATTGAAATCTTTTGGATTTATAACAAGACGTTTATAAAAACTCGCAAAGACACGCGACCAACCCGCCGCGTATTTTATTAGATCCAACGAGACTCCTTTATCTGCGGCATGCTGAATGCTATAAGAGAAGAAGAAACTGTTCTAACTCCATACTCTTCGAGGCCTAACCGCAGCTACCGGGCAATCGATTGATGGCTCACTGCTTTGTGAGGTCTTACCAATGAGATGAACAAAGAATCGCAAGACGGAGGCCGTAAGTTCTGAGTAATTTAAAAGTAATGTTTGATCAGATTATAGATGCAAAGATTTCTTAATCCTATCTGGTACACAAATAAAAAGTTTATTCGTTAGGGAGATTTGTGATATTCTTATGGCCGCCAATGTTTGGGTACGCTGGCCCGTACCCAAGCGTCAAGAGGATGGTCAGTTTCTTCGTTACTGTCTCCAAAGATAGTGGCTCGTGTAAATATAGCTTCACTTTCTCTATCTCCGGAGCTGGATCCCAAACAAAGTCATATCTGAGATGAGGAGGTTTGAGAGCTCCCACACCCTTACAGAACTTTTTTACAAGGGGTTGGCTCCCAATCTCGTTGTATGAGAGTAAAGACTGCTGATGAAAACTAATGTGAGCAGTGACTGATGAAAAGGAATTCGCGCCTTTAAATTCCTGGACTAAGAATGTCAGAAACTGTGATAGATTAAGCGCAAGAAACGGAATCGCATGGATACGGCAGAAGATCCATCAATTCCGTAAGAGTCTGGAATACTGTTTGATTGTTGAGTCCGCTAGCGAGGTCAACATAATCTCTGCTGCTTCCGATAAAACTTTTCTGTCGATGAACGTCCGTCTGATAATCTCCCGGCCCCCAAGGAAAGTGTCCTCCATGCTTGATGACAATATCTAAAAGGAGAAGACAATAAACTCTGAGATGGCGAGAAAATCACAATCTCCCACCAAAAGGCACTGAGGAAACCAAGATTGTGAGACCACCAAGTTATTACTATGATTCCCACTGCTTTATCATCCAAAATTTTCCGGACGACACGAGGCAAAAGTATTAACGGGGGAAAAGCGTAGAAATTAATTTCCGACCAAGATATCGTAAAGGCATCGATCGCTACAAAGCCCAGATATGGTTATCCAAGATATGTATGTATCACATTTATTAGGTGTACAAAAAAGTTCTGAGCTTCTTTTTGTAAAATTCAATCTTTATTCAAAAACAAACAAAAAAATATTAATCAGCGAAATATTCCCCGTTTGCATCAACGACCTTTTGCCATCTTTCGGGTAGCTTGCGAATTCCTTGACGATAGAAACTAACCGGCTTCGAAGCGATAAAGTCATCAATGCATTTTCGTATCTCTTCAAATCTCACGAAATGTGTATCAGCCAAATGATACTGCAGCGACCGGAATAGGTAGTAATCGGAAGGCGTCTGGGCTATACGCCGCGTGCAAGAGAAGTTCCCTAACGCAAAGATATGGTCCTGAGTCGCTTTCGCAACATGCGATTGCATTGTCATGAAGCTCACTTTACGACGTCCTTGGCCTGTAAATGGCCTCTTTTCTTCTAATGCATCGCTCAAATTGGTCAATTGTTGTTGGTAGCGATCTGCCGTGATTGTTTCACCCGATTGTAACTCGTAATACAACACACCTTTCCAATCCCACCAGATACAGAGCAAAACCTTCTTGGCGTGGATATTGGGCTTTGGCGTCGATGTCGAAGGTTGACCAGGGTCAACCCATGATTTTCTACGTTTAGGGTTATCATAAAGAATCCACTTTTCATCGCCTGTAATGATTTTGTGCAGAAAATCTTTTTTTCGGAACTTTGAAAGCAAAGTGAGTGCAGTGTCACGCCAACGATTTTTGTTGTCTTCGGATAATTCATGCGGAACCCATCTAAACCATCCTTCTGAACCTTTCTTATTGTATGTAAACGTAAATGCTGCGTAACGCCAAGCTGTTCTGCAAGCTCCTTTTCAGTTTGCGCAGAGTTTATATCCAGCAGTGCTTGCAATTCGTCCGTTTCAATCTTTTGAGGGCATCCAGCACGCGATTCATCTTCAAGACTGAAATCTCCTTGGCAAAATTTTTGATATCATCTTTTACATGTAGTATGACTTACAGCGTTCTCTACATATGCAGCACAAATCATTGCAGTAGCTTCAGCAACATTTTTCTTCAGATGAAACACGAAGTGGATAAAAGAAAATCGAATATGCTCTTTTGTTATTGCCATCGTGAACACTACTGATTTTTGAGGTTATGTGCATCAAACACCAAACCGTATGGCATTTTAGAAGGCCAAATGAACGTTTTAAAACCGCAAAAGGGCGGGAAGATATATAAAATTTAAATTGTTATTTCGGTTGTATGAAATCTAAACTCAGAACTTTTTTGTACACCTAATAATATTGATGATAGACACGTAGAGATCGATCTCGGGAGAACCGGTTGAAAAAGCTTCCTCTGATAAGGACCATTCAGTGTTCGCGTTAACTTTTCGTAATTCTTGATCTGCGATAGTATTATTTATAAAAGCAGTATAAGATGCAAAAACGAAGTTGTTGCGCTCTTTGCAATTTCAGATCTTGCTACGGATGTTAGTTCCAGATATCGAATCGAGCCGGAACGGCTCACATAGGCAATAGCTGTTGTGTTGTCTACTCTAAGAAGGGTATAACTATTTTTGAGATCCGTCGCGAACATAACGCATAGAAGACGGCTTTGAACTGTAACAAATTTATATGATTCGTTCTTTCCTTTGCAGACCATCACCCATGCGTACGGAGCTGACCACAGGACGCTCTCCAGCCCGATAAAGATACGTCTGAAAATATTATGAACTGGTGCTTCCCGCCGAATTGTCCTGGCTTGTTTTGGATTCGATAGAACTTTCATCCACCACTGAAAATCTGTTAAGTGAGGTGAAAGATCCATATTAGCCTCATAATCTCTATTGGATCTCGCGAGAGCTGAGAACTTCATCCTCTCCAGTTGCTTTGTATAATAGGCCATATTCGACCGCTAGGCAGACTGAGATTAAAGATCTGATGATTCTGGCTAACTCGCAAATCCGGCAACTGGATTTTTCTATGAAAGAAGAAATCATTGTAAAAAGATTATTGCGACGGTCAGGTAGAATTGCGATGGATTGATGTGTGGAATCCAATAGAAAACCTAGATATTTGCAGTTTCTGCGCAGGTTCGAGCTGAGATTTCGAGAAATTTAAGAAGAACCCTAGGAGTGATAAGAAACTGATAGTTGCAGTGTTAATCACAGTGTTAAGTACAGTCTTCTTTCGATGAACCAAATAAGAGAAGATCATCCAGGACTAAACTATTGAGAGATATCCTTCACTCCGTAACTGAGCTACTATCGGGCGAATAATTTTTGTAGATATGTACGGGATCATGAACAGGCCGGAAAGTAGTAATGTAAATTCGTATGTAGTTTCTCGTCGCTGAAAACGCAGGAAATGCCGATCTTTCTGGAAGATGGAAACAAGTAGGTAGACCTCCTCAAGGTCCAGAGTTGATATCCATGCTTTCCGCGTCATAAGTTGGACCGCTTTTCGCCAATTTTCCAATTAAAAGTGTGCTAGGGAAAGAAATTTGTTTAACTCTCTCAGATTTAAAATGAGCATTCCTTCTGATGCTTTTTTCGCAAGAAAGAATTGAGAAAGAAATTGGTTCTCGAGGAAGCCATGGCAATTATCACGCCTTTTTATAATAGGCATGAAATTTCCCTATCGCAGATCTCTGTAGCGGACTAGAAAAAAATAGGTTCCCGCAGGCAGGTTCGAGGTGGTGGGGTTGAAGAAAATGAAATATGATACCCGGATACCGCGTGAAGAACCTTGCGATCCTTGGTCAGCCCTTCCCATTTTGATAGAAATCTGGGCAATCGACCTTCGGTTCTTACTTGATTTACCGACGAGTCCGAAATCTGAATCGGCGATTGGGACGCTCTATTTCTACAAGGCCCTTGGCTGGTGAGCCGTTGAAACGCATTGAATCGAGAGTTTAAAGTTTCCCACGCATTGGATGGATTTGACTCTGACGGATTGATGACGATTGTTGTAGAGATTTGGATGTAGCTGGAAATTGACTTTGATTCACAGCTTGCCTTCTCACACGACCGAGCCGATCTGAACTCCTCCGCAAATGATGAGCCAAAGAATCATTCATCGATTGTGGATCCCTTCGCTGCATTTTTTGTCACAAATGACAGGCATGGGTTAATGAACATCTGTCTGGTGAGAGATAGGCGGTGTTGATGGTCCGCTAAGAGGTAAATCCCCTCAGCCAACTTCGTGATCGCGTTCTTTATCCTGAGATCTATTAGCTGTTCCTGAAGTTGCAGGAGATCGGTTACGTCCAAGCCTAAGGCGTTAAGATAAGCCACCACTTATGCTATACCTGGGTCTAGCCAAAGCGAGAAGTAGAGCGCCCAAGGGCGCTCTTATGTATCTCAGTCGCCCTCAGATTAACAAGGAGATCGTAGCAGTCCTCGCAAAATGCCAAAGCGTCCTCTTCA